TCATTATTTTTCTGGTCTTCCTATCCATTGCTTTTAGTTCTGCTTGAGTCCAGTCCACTATTCCAGCTGTGTACCTAATGACTGGAATTGCCCAGGTGTTGATTGCCTTTATGGTATTTCCTCCATTGAGTTTGGACTTTAAGATCTTCTTCACTCTCTTGATGTATTCACCTCTAATCTTTTTCTTGACTTCAGTGTGCTTGATGTTGTCAGCTTGAAGGATACCCAAGTATTTGTAGTAATCTTCCTCATCCAGACTCTTAATGTTATTTTCGTGGGGCATCTTGATTCCTTCAGTTTTCACTACTTTTCCTTGTTTGATAGTAAGTGTGGCACATTTGTCCAAGCCAAACTCCATTACAATATCTTGGCTATATATACGGACAGTGTTGAGCAGCGATTCTATTTCAGATGATGTTTTTCCATACAGCTTCAGATCATCCATGTAAAGGAGGTGGGATAGTCTGGTAGATGTTTTTGATATTTGATAGCCATGTCCTGAGTTATTCAGTATTGTTGACAGAGGAAACAGTGCAATAACAAATAGTAATGGTGACAATGAATCTCCTTGAAATATTCTTCTCTTGATATTAACCTCTGCCAGTCTCTCACCATTGATCTGCAACTGTGTCTTCCATTGTGCCATCGATCTTTGCACAAATTTTCTGATGCTTCTACTGACTCCTGTTATTTCTAGGCACTTGATTATCCAGTCATGTGGCAGAGAGTCAAATGCCTTTTTGTAGTCAATCCATGCCACATTCAGGTTGGTCTTCCTTTTTTTTGCAGTTCCAAGATCATTTTGTCTATTAGGAGTTGATCTTTTGTTCCTCTGCTGTTGGGGTGGTTTCCTTTCTGCTCAGGTGGAAAGAGATTGTTTTCAACTAGATGCTGTTGTACTGCATCAGCTACCACCCCAGTTAGTAATTTGAAAGTTGTTGGTAAGCAGGTAATTGACCTGTAGTTGCCTGGTGTTGCCCCTTTTGCTGGATTTTTCATTATTAGGTAGGTTTTCCCAGTTGTTAGCCACTTTTCAATTTTTCCTCCTTGTAGTATATTGTTGAACTGCTTGGCAATGAGTGGGTGTATAACAGTTAGATGTTTCAACCAAAACCCATGCAGTTCATCTTCACCTGGTGCTGACCAATTTTTGATTTTCCTTGCTCTTTTTTCTACCATTTTTGTTGTTATTACTAGTTCTTTCATTTCAACTTCTGTTTTATTTGCATCCACCTCTTTTAACCAAGCCGCATCCTTGTTGTATTTCTTTGGGTTATCCCATATCTGCTTCCAGAACTGCACTGTTTCTTCCTTGTCAGGTACTGACTGATTCCTTGCAGTTTCTCCATTGATGGATTGGTAGAAACGTTTCTGATTGGATTGAAATTGGAGGTTCTGCCTATAGTTTGCAATTCGAGCTTCATATCTACTGATTTTCCTGGCTATAGCTGTTATTTGCTGCTTTATTATTTCCAGTGCTTCCTTGATCTTCCTTGTTTCTAGTGGTATTTCTTGATTAGGTATTCTTTGGTCTTCTTGTTCTTCAGCTTCTTTTCTTTCATCTGTTCTAGCTTGCTTGCATGTGATCTTAATTTGCTGATCTTATTTTCTAGTCTAACCTTCCATTTCTGTGGTGCACTGTTTTTCTTCTTTGTTGATTTTGCATCCCAGGTATTCAGTTATAACTGCAGCTGTGCTGTACATTAGTTGGTTTGTTTCTTGCAGTGAATTGGTGCTTATACGTGATATTGCAGTATTTGCATCTTTTAATGCTTTTGCTAGCTGTTTCTTTGGAACAAGCTTCAATGCAGACAGCCTTATTCTGTTGTTTTTGTGCTGTTCTAGATGCTCAATTATTCTTTGTTTCAATTCTTTTATTTCTTTAGTTAGAGGGTTTTGTTCTTCCTGAGGAAGAGATGCCTGGTTTCCAAATGAGAACAGTTGTATATCTCTGCTGGATTCCTTCACTGCCAACTCCCCCTGGTTTGCCTCTACATTTTGAATTACTTCTGGTAAGGCTTTGATTTCTTTGCCCTGGGTAAACCTTTGCAGTTCGTCCAATTCTGTTTCTGTGAATACTTTATTTCGTATTATAAATCTGCATTGATCTGCTAGTCTCTGTTCTGTTATTTCTGATTCTGGATATTGTTCTTTCCAGAACTGGTGCATTCGTTTTAGATATCCTCTTCTTGTTGGACTTGATCTGTAGTAACAGATCATTATTTCTTTGTTTTCAATCACTGTGTATCTGCGACGGGTAAACACCTTTTCTTCCAGTAGTTCTGCAGCTGCTAGCCCTGGTTGCTCAGCCAACAGTCCTAAGTCCTGTAATCCATTTTTCACCAGATATCCAGGAACTCCAATATCTAGCGCGGACCTTGTTAACCCAGGCGACATCCGAACCGGTATGGCATTCTGAAATTTACATCTCACCATATTTTTTATGGGAGAGACATTCTTTGTCTGACTCCTCTGATGAGACCTGTCCAGTATGGTTGAACCACTGGCATAGCTCTCATCTTCCTCAGAGTACACAAACCCCACAACCACGTCAAGGTAGTTATTATTATGGATCATCGCACAGTCAGCCAGATGTTCAGACTGGATTTGGCATTTTGTCTACCTATCGAGTCCTTACCCAGGACCTGGGATAGGCAGATGTGGATGTTTGATGGTATTACAGATATCGTCGCAGGATGGAAGCTGTTCCTAGTAAGGCCGCCTTTTGCAATTGACTAATAGCAAATTTGTCAATGTCAATAGTGTTCAAGTGGTTCTCCAGTTGTTTTGGGATTGCACCCAAGGAGCCTATTACTATTGGTACTACCCTTGCTTGCTTTTGCCACAGTCTTTCTATTTCTATTTGTAGGTCTTTGTATTTTGTTATCTTCTCCAGTTCTTTCTCTTCTATTCTGCTTGGACAAATGTGCCGCACTTACTATCAAACAAGGAAAAGTAGTGAAAACTGAAGGAATCAAGATGCCCCACGAAAATAACATTAAGAGTCTGGATGAGGAAGATTACTGCAAATACTTGGGTATCCTTCAAGCTGACAACATCAAGCACACTGAAGTCAAGAAAAGGATTAGAGGTGAATACATCAAGAGAGTGAAGAAGATCTTAAAATCCAAACTCAATGGAGGAAATACCATAAAGGCAATCAACACCTGGGCAATCCCAGTCATCAGGTACACAGCTGGAATAGTGGACTGGACTCAAGCAGAACTAAAAGCAATGGATAGGCAGACCAGAAAAATAATGACAATGAATCATGCCCTTCCTCCACGCAGTGACATTGATAGACTTTATCTACCAAGGCAAATAGGTGGGCGTGGAATGCTACAAGTACATCAGATTGTTTAAGAAGAAAAAATGGCTTTGGAAGAATATCTGAAGAACAATGATGAAGATGCACTGAAATTAGTATATCAGGAAGGCTTACTAACTACTGGAGAGACCAAACTGGCCTACAAGAAAGACCAAATGAAGAACAGAATAGAGGCATGGGAAGACAAAGCACTACATGGCCAATACATTAAAAAAATAACTGGGAAAGCAGATAATAACAAGACCTGGCAATGGCTAAGAGCAGGAAAATTGAAGAAAGAGACTGAGGGACTAATTCTGGCTGCACAAGACCAATCCTTAAGGACAAATGCATATAAAGTCAAAATTGAGAAGACAGCAACAGACAGTAAGTGCCGCCTATGCAAAGAAGCTGAAGAAACAGTGGACCACCTGATAAACTGTTGCAAGAAGATTGTACAGACTGACTACAAGCAGTGGCATGATAAAGTAGCAACAATGGTGCATTGGAAGATCTGCAAAAAATATCATTTGCCTGTAAGCAAAAACTGGTGGGATCATAAAATAGAGAAAGTCATAGAAAATGATAAAATTAAACTGCTCTGGGACTTCAAAATTCAAACAGACAAGCACCTGCAACATAACACCCCAGACTTAACAATTGTTGATAAGAAAGACAAAAAAGTCTGGATTATTATTATTATTATTATTATTAAGAAAGGGGAAGAAGTAAGGTTGGGGAAAAGCATAGTGGAGGAAAATTGCTGAAATAAGAAGAGAAGAGTAGCCTATGGGAGACAGGGCATCTGTAGAAGCTGGGAAGGTGTCATGTGCTTTCCTCTGAGGCATTCTGGCTTCTCTGGTTGCTCCTAGTAGATTCAAGCCAGGGTGTCCGAATGGCTGTGGTTACTCTTATAAAATGGAACAGATTTTAGAATGGCCTTTTTAATCTCTGCAGCAATGGTTGGAGCGTCCCAGAGGGGAAAGTAAAAAGATTTCCTGAGACAGGGTTTGGGTATCCTTTGCAATAGGAGGAAGGTTAGGAGTCTCAAAGTGCCTGAAGAACCTTGCAATCTGCCCAGAGTTCTAACTATACATGGCCAGCTGGATAACTATAAGAAACTTCCTAGCAGAGAGTGAGTACAATAACACTCTCTTATTTATTTTCCACAACAATTTGTGTTCATTGCCATGCTTTGACTTTATGGTGAGAAGGAATAGAAAGATAGTAAATAAAAACTACCATGAGTCATTGTGCTTGCACGTTTGATGTCAGTGTGGTAACCTGATTTCTCATATTGTCTAAAGTAATTTGATAAGGTAATTGGCATTATGCTGTACCATACTTGCAATGTGCTGGTATCTCTATTCTAGTCCTGAATTGGAAGTAGTCTTTGCCAGTCACATCTACTAACTACTTATATTCCATGAATTAGTCTTAAGCCTTCCCATGATGATGAGCACCACCTATTTTGTTAGTAATTCTCATAATTTAATATATATTGTGTGAAATGCTTCCCTTTTTTTTGCCCTGAATTAGTTGTATTGCAAAAGATTTAATAATGGTACTATATGTATACCATTTATACTGTATGTATACCATTTATGGTATTTAGCTATGTTTTAAAGTTAGGCTTAAGGTAGCTTTTTTCAGTAAAAGTTGGTCTGATTTTGTTAGAAATTCCATCTTTATCTTCAAGAGTGCTTGTGAATTAAGATTCATGGAAATAGAAAGCATTGAAAATTTTTCAGGCTTTAAAAGAGGTTTCAACAAATAACTTCATAGCACATGCTTTTTTAAAAAGGTTTTGAAACTAGGGAAAAGATTTTTAACTAAGTAACTTAAATCAACTGAGGCATGTTTAGTTCTAGTTTCCTTTGATAATTTCTTTAAGCCTTCTTGAATTCATAAGAATAAAGATCTATATATTGTAATATTTGTTCACATAATGATTGGGGCGTATCAGTGCCCAGTGTGTAATTTTTTTTTATTTAAAAAACGTCTGCCTAGCTTTCTTCTTGCTGCTCCAATTAACACATTCAGTGAATGCTTGCCATTGAGTGGTCTGTGTATATGGGTTAAACCACTTTGTTATTTGTTCAGATTGCATTGTTTTGTAGCAGGAATTAGCTGTGCATTGTTTATTCTGTAAATAAGGAAAAGAAAAAAGCAAATAAAAATAAATGGAATCTTAAATGATTAGGGGCTGTATGATTATAAATAACAAGGAGTAATTATTAGGTTGGAGAAAACCTCTTGTGTTTTCAGATGTGGTTCAGTCCATTGAGTAGTGTTTATCTCCTCCCCTCTGGCCCCACTTCAAATGATGGAGACAGAGAATAGTGAAATTCTAGTGCTATGATTCCTCTTGCTGTCAGATCCATTGTTAACTTTATTTCATTTATTAAAGTGTTCTTGCCATGAAGATCCTATCTTTTCGGCTTATGTTTCTTCTTTTTAAGAATTTGTTTTAAGATGTAGAGATAATACCTTTGATTATTTTAATGCAGAGTCAGATGAAGGTAAAGCAGTGTCCTTTTATTGCTAGAGCTGAAGCTGGATTTGAGTGGTATCAAGCTGGCTGGTCCAAGGGGTCAATTCTCCTGGATATTAATTTTTTTTGCCACCAGCTGTTTGTGAAGCGTAGCTCTGGGCAATAGCAACAAAAGATACACGGACCGGAGCCTGTGGGCTGGTGAATGAGAGATGGAGCGTTTCTTGGGGTTGGTCAAGCAGATAAGGAGATCCAGGAGAAGAAAAGGCAAAAAGTACTGTCCGGAGGAGGATTATCATGAGGGTTATGAGGATGTATATTATTATGCCTCAGAGCACTTTCCAAGTAAGTGTACAAATGTTTTACTTCTGTTACTATGACAAAAGGGGTTACTATTATTTTCAGCTTTAAAAAAGGCATTGCAGCTTGTTTTTCTTTTTAGATGTTTGGAAGGTGGTGGGGTTTTGTGTGTGAGGCTGCTATATTGTATGAATGAAAGGAAAGCTCTGAAGAAAGGATTAATATTTCAAGTGCAGTTAATTGATTTTTATTGTGTAAGACTTTTATTAAATCACTCTAGTGCTTAAAACTCACACTGCAGACAATTTACAACCGTACATTTGTGTGCCTGTGTGTTTGCTTCAGGGCTCTGTCAATATACAGTATTATAAGGAGATATCATTTTAAAACACTCTGAAAATGGGCTTGCTTATACGCAGATAAAGGTTGAAGTTAAAAATAAAACTGAATACAAGTAACCTTTTAACATTTTTTAAATATTTGCTTAATTTTTTCAATAGAAAGTAAAGCTAGTTTATTTTTTCAGGTGTTCATAGCATTGTTAGAGAATGAAAGAACTATTCTGTTAATTTATTCTGCAGCCATGTGCCTGCAACTGCATTTTATAAAAATTGGGAGCCGTACATCAGTATTTGAAGCTAGAACATACAGTTATTCATAATATTCTTTGTGCCTGCATATTCTCTGAGCTCATGTTTTGTTTTGTATGTGTTCGAATAGATTTAAAATGTCCACAAATTCCTACAGGAACAATGGACAAGGGAGCCACTCATAGGTTTGTCTGAATTTATTGTGCCATGCTTAAGCTAAAGAAATTGACAATATGAGCAGCCGTGAACTTACAGATGTATAGGAAGGACCATCTTTGCAATCAACAGTTTCTGTTCTGTTTATTCATAAGCATAACACATTTTTTTTAAAAATGTGTATATCAGTCTATGCTTTTTATTCATAAATATAATGATGTATAGATGGCTTATAGTCTACTTTGCTGTGTGTTGCAGTTTATCTCCTTTTCCGGGAGGAGGAAGAAACAGAAGTTTTGGAGTTTTGGAAAAGCACATTGCTGCAATCATGAGGCAATGCTAGATTTACCAACAGTACAGTTTTTGATTTAGAATTGTCATTTAAAAAAAAAAAAAAAAAAGTTGGTTGCATTGTATTTGCCTAGTCTGTTACTCCTACATATAAAGTAATGAATTCATGACAGGATTAATAGTATAATAGTGTACTTACCAGGTAATCAACATGAATATACTATGAAAGTGATTAAAATGGTAATTTGTACAACTTCTGTTCTTGTAAAATTTGCAACAATTTAAACAAGGTTTCCATTTATCTTGGAAAATATGCATTACAAATCAAAAGAAACAAGTAGGTCACTTAATTCCATCAAAACAGTTGTTTTCTGAATAACTTTATTTTGCAAGAATCTCTCCATTTAGAATGAACTGATAGATTCTTCTCCATAATATTTCATGGTATGAATTACCATGAAGGTGGATTTGTCACCGATCAATTTGCCTTTCAAAAGAAATCAAGAAAATAAAAAAAATTCTTCACTATTAGTACTTTATCATACTACCATCAGTTACATAGCTGTTTTAATTTGGTTTATAACATTTACAGATTGCAAATGAATTTTTGTTTTGAAGTTGGGAAAGACTGTTTAACAAACAAACTGATTTTAGTAAGGTTCAATTATAAATATATGATTATTCATGTTATCTTAGTGATATTTATAGGATATTTCATAATTGCCAAAATATTTGAATGTTTTTTTCATATGTTTCCTGGTACTCTGTTGAGTATTGGAATACATAGTTACTACTGTATAGAGATGTCATCTCTCATACTTGATTTATTTATAAAGTAGTTAAATTAAAGTAATTTCTTTCTAAGTATGGTACAATTGTTATTATTTTATGTTGTGGGGAAGAAGCCTGACTCTGATTTATAGAAGAGATGAGATTTTTTTTTAAAAAATAACAGAATATCCATTACCTTTATATTCATTTCAAAGTGTGAGTCTTTCTGTCTTCTATCCTATTGGAAATCTACCAATTAATTTGACTTACTCCCTTTCCCAGTGCAGGCATCTGAAAGTATCTGCAGGTATCTAAAAGTGTCTCTGGGTATCAACCCTCCCAAGTTAAACCAGGCAAGGAAATAGGACTAGGTGAACTAATTCTGCTTTATTGTAAGGTTAAATTAGCAAAATCTTGCAAGTCTGAAAGTACAACCTTCCCGCCCATGGCTTTTTACTGCCTAATCCATTAGGGCAAATCCTTTCTCAGTTTCTTTCTCTAACTGTTCAGCGATTCTGGGCTCCTGCCCCTCTTGTCTGATTGTTTCCAAGGCAGCATCTCTCCTTTTTCTTCAAGGCTACCCATGCATTCTATTACAGTGGGTCTTCCTTTAGCAGTAGGGAGAAAATATATTAGGTATGTTTATGTGTGCGTGAAATGAGAAGTTAGGAATAGTTAATTATATATATATTTTTGAGAAAAATATAAGATAATAAAGCACCATATCCGATAGCCCTAAGCAGGGCTTTTTTTCTCATAGAACGCCCAGAACGGAGTTCTGGCACCTTTTTGGGATGGAACCTTGTAGGGTTGGCGGTTTGTATGACGTGTGTGAGTTCTGGCACTTTTTTTTTTTTTTAAAAAAGCACTGGCCCTAAGTGCTATGCACAATGTGTGTTAATAGATATGTCCAAAACTTTGTTATGCAAGTATAATATTGCTGCTAATCTCTCAAACCTAGCACCTTCAAAACCTTAAATATAATTGTAAAATTATTAATCACCTTAAAATGATTAATTATATACCACCAAGTTGGTACTGACTCTTTGTGACCATAGAGGTAGATTTTCTCTGTGACAATCTATCCTTAACCTGGTCCTTCAGGTCTTCCAACAGTACACCCATTTCCACTCTATCTAACTCCATCCATCTTGCTGCTAATCATCATCTTCTTTTCCTTCCTTTACTAGTCCCAGCTTTAGAGCCTTTTCTAGAGAGCCAGGGCTTTGCATAATGTGTCCAGAGTAGCATAATTTCAGCTGGGTCATTTATGCCTTGGCAGCATGGTGGCTCAGTGGTTAAGATTCTGGGCTTGTCATCTGGAAAGCCAGCAGCCCAGGTTTGAGACCCTAGCACCAACCTAGCAGTTCGAAAGCATGCAAATGTGAGTAGATAAATAGGTACCACTTTAGTAGGAAGGTAACAGTGTTCCATGACATTATGCTGGCCACATGACAGTGGAAGTGTCTTCGGACAGCATCAGCTCAATGGCCTTGAAATGGAGATGAGCTTTGCCCCTGTAATCAGCAATGACTAGCGGAGTAAAATCTGCAGGGACTCCATTTCTCCTATTTGTGCCTTGGGTGAGAACTCTGGATTGATCTGTTCAGAGGTCCATGCGTTTGTTTTAATGGCTACTCCTAGTACTCTCAAGAGTTGTTTCCAACACTAAAGTTTGAAAGTATAACTTTTGCTTCCATAGATTGTCACTGGGAATATTATTGCTTGTACTATTTTGAACTTCTGAGGTATAGACAAATCATAGCATCTAAAATTTTTCAAAGCCCTTAATGACTACTCTAAAATAAAAACAAACAAAGGTTTAAAACATATTGTCTGGGAACACATGGAACTAACTTAGGTAGGACTGTGTTAAATAAAACAAGAGAAATTTGTTAAACAATTTCAAACCGTCTTTCAAATTGGATATTTTTCAAGTTTAAATGGAATTTTTCAGCCTTACTGTCCCAACATTATCAAAATAATTTTAAACCTGTAATTACTCAAATTTGAAATGCTTTGCATACCACTATTTGTAAATATAAAGAGCACTTAAAACAATGAACGTAATTTGTTGCTACGCTGAGAAGTTGCAGTGGGAAACTGCTGCCCAAGCCTTTTTGATCATGGACAGTATCCAAGTTTTATTGCTTAGAAAAAGGAAAGGAACACATTTCCTACCCTGCTACAGTTCTGTAAGTGATATTGAACAGTGAACTAAATTATATATAATTATATATATGAGCGCAATCTTGTTTTTCTGGGGTCTTGGTGCTCTCTAAACCTTGTGGTTTCCTGGGAGATGTTTCATTGTAAAACTAGGTAACATCATCAATCTTGTTTTTCTTAATGCACAGATAAACGTGCAGCTTTTTTAATAAAATATCATGACTCTGGCAACTTAATTTTCAACAATCAGAATAATAGGAATACATTGTTATATATAATGTTATTAAAAGTTTTAAAAACAAAGATTAAAAACAGATACCAAGGAAGACATAAGGAAAAGGAATCAATAAGAGAAGGAAAATGCAAGAAAAAAAAAGAAAATGTAAAGGAAAAATAGAAAAGAAAGGAAAAAGATAAAAAAATGGCTTTCAATCTTCTTTACAGCAGTTATAACTATAATTATAAGTTTACCTCTTTCTCTAAAGTTACATCCTGAGCCTATTCTTTATATAATTATCCAATATAATCACAGAAACCATAAATCATACTTTTTTTCTGTTTTATGCAAAAAGTCCATAAGCGGTATAAAAAGAATGCATTTGAATAGACGCTGCTTTACCTTAGTCTGTGGCAGATCATATATTATTATTCTCTGTGTTTGTATACCCAATTTATATGGGTAATGAGTACATGAGAAGATTTTTAGCAAATTACACTTTCAAATAGAAAATGTACCTAATCACAATAGCTTAACTTATATACTAATATGTATTATGACTAACTACACTAAGTTACATCACTTAGTATTTTGGACATATTTCACATTTGTGAAATGAATCACATTTCCATTCAGTACGCAATTGCCCTAAGTCAAGTTTCTACATAGTCCTGTTATGGAGCTTCCATTTGCAATAATTTAGGTAAAAGTCACAGAATCACAGAATTTGTGGGAACCTTGAAGATATTCTATGCATCTAATGAAGTATGTTTCACCCCATGAAAACCTATGCCTTTTAATAAAATTAGTTAGTTGAAAAATGTGCAACTAGTCTCTGGCTGATTTCTTGCCAAGGGCAGGAATCGTCATTGTATTCCAGACAAACCTTTGGCTAAAAACTTTCAGTAACAGAGCAGTCATGATTCCAGATGACTGGTTGTTACACTGCCTAATTATTCTCATGGTTGGGATATTCATTCTTATTTCCAAGATTGAAATTCCTTCTAAACTACAATACTTGTGCTTAAAAATGAATAAATGAGACAGTAAGAAAGGCAGTGATTATATGAATTTATGCTGTATTCAGATGGATTCGTAGCTGGCTGACCGGCCGTATTCAGCGTGTGGTCCTCAATGGAACTGCATCTATATGGAGGGAAGTGTGTAGTGGGGTGCCCCAGGGCTCTGTTCTGGGCCCAGTGCTCTTCAACATCTTCATCAATGACTTGGATGAAGGGATAGATGAGGAACTCATCAGATTTGCAGACAACACCAAGCTGGCAGGAATAGCCAACACTCCAGAAGACAGGCTTAAGATACAGAAGGATCTTGACAGACTTGAATACTGGGCGCTATCTAACAAAATGAAATTCAATGGTGAAAAGAGTAAGGGTCTACATTTAGGCAAGAAAAACCAGATGTACAGGTATAGTATAGGGGGTACCTTGCTCAATAGTAGTAACTGTGAGAGGGATCTTGGAGTCCTAGTGGACAATCACTTAAATATGAGCCAGCAGTGTGCTGCAGCTGCCAAAAAAGCCAACAGAGTGCTAGGCTGCATTAACAGAGGAATAGAATCAAGATCACATGAAGTGTTAATACCACTTTACAATGCCATGGTAATGCCACACTTCAAATACTGCATCCAGTTTTGGTCACCATGATATAAAAAAGATGTGGAGACTCTAGAAAGAGTACAGAGAAGAGAAGCAAAGATGATTAGGGGACTGGAGACTAAAACATATAAAGAACAGTTGCTGGAATTGGGTATGTTTAGTTTAACGAAGAGAAGGTCTATGGGTTCCATGATAGCAGTATCCCAATATCTCAGGGGCTGCCACAAAGAAGAGGGAGTCAAGTTATTCTCTAAAGTGCCTGAAGGCAGGACAAGAAGCAATGGATGGGAACTAATCAAGGAGAGAAGCAACCTAGAACTAAGGAGAAACTTCCTGA